TGAAAATGTGACTGAATTGCTGCAATCTCACAATCAAACTTAATGGATGAGCAGCTATTCTTAAGGGAGAGCAAACAAAAGTGGTTCTTGAGATGGATTCTACTCCTTGTGAAAATGCTATTAACACTGTGGAAATGACAATAGGCCAGGCAAGGTGGCTCACACCTGTAATCCCAACACTTTGGGAGGCCAAGGCAGGAAGATTGCTTGAGCCCAGTTCAAGACCAGCCGAGGCAACATCCTTTAAAAGCAATTTTTAGGGCCGGGCGCAGTGGCTCAAGCCTGTAATCCCAGCACTTTGGGAGGTCGAGGCGGGTGGATCACGAGGTCAAGAGATCGAGACCATCCTGGTCAACAAGGTGAAACCCCGTCTCTACTAAAAATACAAAAATTAGCTGGGCATGATGGTGCATGCCTGTAGTCCCAGCTACTCGGGAGGCTGAGGCCGGAGAATTGCTTGAACCCAGGGGGTGGAGGTTGCAGTGAGCCGAGATCGCGCCATTGCACTCCAGCCTGGGCAACAACAGCAAAACTCCATCTCAAAAAAAAAATAAATAAATAAAAATAAATAAATAAATAAAAGCAATTTTTAAAATTAGCTGTGCATGGTGGTGCATGCCTGTTGTCCCAGCTACTTGGAAGGCTGAGGTAGGTAGCTGAATTGCTTGAGCCTGGGAATTCAAAGTTATAGTGAGCTGTTGATCACACCACTGAATTCCAGCCTGTGTGACAGAGTGAGACCCTGTCTAAATAAATAAATAAATGACAACAAAGGATTTGGGGTTGTTTTTGTTTTTTTGGTTTTTTTTTGAGACAAAGTCTTGCTCTGTTGCCCAGGCTGGTGTGTGTTAGTGCTTTCAAGGCTCACTGCATCCTCAACCTCCCAGGTTCAAGCGATCCTCCCACCTCAATTTCCTGAGTAGCTGGGACTACAGTAACTCACCACTCCACCCAGCTAATTCATAAAAATTTTTTAGGCTGGGCGCAGTGGCTCACGCCTATAATCCCAACACTTTGGGAGGCTGAGGCAAGCGGATCACGAGGTCAGGAGTTCAAGACTAGCCTGGCCAACATGGTGAAACCCATCTCTACTAAAAATACAAAAATTAGCTGGGCATGGTGGGGGTGCCTGTAATCCCAGCTCCTCGGGAGGCTGAAGCAGGAGAATTGTTTGAACCTGGGAGGCAGAGTTTGCAGTGAGCTGACACTGCACCATTGTACTCCAGCCTGGGCAACAGGGCGAGACTCTGACTCAAAAAGAAAAAAAGTGTACTTTTACTGGACATATTATTGCACACTTAAGAGACTACAGTACAGCATAAACTTAATATGCATTGCAAAACAGAAAAATTCATGACTTGCTTTATTATATTTGCTTTACTGCTGTGGCCTGGAACCAAACTTGCCTTAGCTCCGAGGTATGCCTGTACTTAGAAGAGTAACTAGCACATAGCAAGTTCTGTATAAGTTTTGGCCATTATTATTATAGCTTTCCCATCTCTGTCTTTTTTTATGGCTCTCACATTTTGGTGCAACATGGGTTAAAATACAAACTGGCAAAAAAATAAAATAAAATCTGGCAAGTCTCTTAAATAAGGAAAGCTTCTCCAGAAGTTCCCCAGGCTTCCCTTCCCATCTAATTAGGCAGAACTGCATCATACACCCATGCCTAAATCAATCACTGTCTAGGGAGCTAAAGTTACAATGACTGGTTTAGAGTTTATATCAAGACCCACCCCCTGGGGTAAGGAAAGGTGGCCAGATTCCCAGTTAGCAAAGTAGTAGTAATGGTGCTAAGACAACTAGTGTCTGCTAAGACTCATGAGGCTGTAGTCTCTGCTAGAGAGTCAGAATAAAGCAACCTCCAGAACAACAAACATCACCCCTACAGGGCACCTAGAGGCAGGAAAATCACTACAAAGGTCTGTTAAGGGTAATGAAGTTTGGGCACTGCAGAAATAGTGTAGGATATAAGACTGAGATAGCGGAGAGTGCACTTAAGAGGCAGTTAAATACAGCAGGTTCTTTACTCATGGGCATGTGAAGGCAGGCTGTGTTAGTGTCTCCAGTGCCCACAGGATCCAGATTACTAGCCCTGGACTAGTCACCTAATCTTCTCAAAGCTTCGATTTCTAATTGTAAATGAAGATAACATAAGATACCTCGGATTAGATGTTAGGATTAAATAAACACATTAGTCTGATCTACATGGAATATAGATAAACAAAAAGCTGACATTCTTAAAGACAAGGTATGATGATGGAGAGGTACTTGAGACGAAGCTGGAAAGAGGAAGTTACCTGACTCTAGGCTAAAACCCCCCTTCAAGACCTTGGTTGGGTTTTGTTGCTCCACTGAAGAACTTTCATATTGAACTATACCAGAATAGGACTAACTTTATTTCTTAACTCCTTAAGTCTTCTTAGAGATTTATGTTCGGCAAAATGGGTAAGAATCTTACTTCTGGCTTTGTGGCTTATTGGCTGTGTTATTTTCTCTGAGGCAGTTTCCCAATCTACAAAACTGAGTAAATTCCTACCAAATTTATTTCACTGAGCTTATTAAACATTAGTTCCTCCCCTTTGAGGCAACAGCGTTTCTGAAACTGAAGACCAATACGAAATTTATAACATAAAGTTTATAACATAAAAGCTCCTAAATATTCACTGATAGATGAAGCTCCAGCTACTAAGAAAGGCCTATCAGTCTTATTACTTAACAGAGAAACATGGAAACCAGAGTGCTTAAGGAAAAGGAACACTCTTGAAAGTGGAAAAGAATCTGTTCTGACATTAATAGAGCCCTTACTAGGCTCCAGACAATGTTATCTGCTTTTTGTTTGTTTTTGAGATAGAGTCTGGCTCTGTTGCCCAGGCTGGCATGATCTTGGCGCACTGCAACTTCCCCCTCCCAGGTTCAAGCAATTCTCCTGTCTCGGCCTCCCAAGTAGCTGGAACTATAGAAGCACACCACCATGTCCGGCTAATTTTTGTATTTTTAGTAGAGACAGGGTTTCACCATATCGGTCAGGCTGGTCTCATACTCCTGACCTCAGGCGATCCACCCACCTCAGCCTCCCAAAGTGCTGGGATTACAGGCATGAGCCACCTTGACCAGCCCAAATGCTGTTACCTTATTTTATCCCCAAATATCTTGATAACACAGCCCCACCCCTTTTTTCTAGAGATGAAAAAAGGCTCAGAAAGGAAGAACAACATTATCGTGGACTTTGCTAGATGCTTTCCATATGTGTTGTGTCTGGCATTTAAGTGACTTCCAATACCAGATCTGATTCTAAAGTCATTACCTTGAAGCTCAAGTGAATAATTTGTTTCCCTAGAATCACAGATCTTAAAAAAAATTTCAATCCCAAAAATAAAATAATTTGTTTCCCTAGAATCACAGATCTTAAAAAAAATTTCAATCCCAAAAATTAAATAAATAAATAAATAAATAAATAAAATTCAATTCCAGGGGTCGGGTCGGTGGCTCATGCCTGTAATCCCAGCACTTTGGGAGGCTGAGGGGTGGGTCACCTGAGATCAGGAGTTCAGGACCAGCCTGGCCAACATGGTGAAACCTTGTCTGTACTAAAAAGAAAAAAAAAATTAGCTGAGAGTGGTGGCGGGGGCCTGTAATCCCAGCTACTGGGTTGGGTTGACGCAGGAGAATTGCTTGAACCTGGGAGGTGGAGGTTGCAGTAAGCCAAGATCAGGCCACTTCACACCGGCCTTGGAGACAAGAGTGAAACTCCTTCTCCAAAAAAAAAAATTGCAGAATCTCATTTTGCTTGCCCCACACACAATAGTTGGAGTTAGCAATTCACTCTGGACTCTTTCAGCTTCCTTCAGAAGACAGATTCCAAAGTGGACCAACATGCAAAAACAAACAAAAAACCCAAAACACCTTTACAACTTTGCCTAGGGTGTAAAAGCTTTTTTCCCTTCTTCCAGCGCAACCACTAGAGGGCCAGGTCATTACAAAAAATAAAATTAATTTTCAAAAAAGGCCAGAGGGCAGAGGCTCACACCTGTAATCCCAGCACTTTGGGAGGCCGAGGTGGCCGAAACATTTGAGGTCAGGAGTTTGAGACCAGCCTGGCCAACACGGTGAAAACCCGTCTCTACCAAAAATAAAAAAAATTAGCTAGGCGTGTCTGTAATCCCAGCTACTCCGGAGGCTGAGGCAGGAGAATCGCTTGAACCCCGGAGGCGGAGGTTGCAGTGAGCCGAGATCGCGCCACTGCACTCCAGCATGGGCAACACAGCAAGACTCTGTATTTAAAAAACAGAAAAAACAAACGAAAAAAAAAAACACCCCAGCAGTTACAAACTAGACTTGGGAGTGTTCATCCTGGCTTAGCCACTGTGTGATCTTTGGTAAGTTACTTTACCTTTCTAAACCTCAGCTTCCACATCTGTAAAATAGCAATAACGGTAGCATCTATTTCCTTAGGTTTTACAAATTAAGTAAAACATGATATGTAAAGCAATCAGCACAATGCCTGCACATAGGAAGACTTAGCAAATTTAACAGTTTTTATTGCTGGAGAGGAATTACCACTATTGGTTCTGTCTCTAAGTCCAAAGACTTCGCCATGGTATTCTCTCTTAACAGAGGCCTTGCCAGCCGGAGTCCCCCCAGAAAGATCAACAGGTCGCTCCTTTTCTCCTTACCAAGGCCAGCCCAGAAACCTAAAGTCCCCAACCTAAAGATGGCCAAGAGAAGCTGGCCTTTGGTGTTCTACCATCACAAGAGATGCCACTCTGAGCCCAACTGAACCACACTATTTCCGCTTTGGTTCCGTTCTCCTGGCCTTCAGCGGCACAAGCTACCCTCGGCCTGGGTGCCCATGGTTACTGGCCTGGTGCTGGCTCGCCTGGCGTCCCCTCACCAGAGGACTCCACCCCGCTACGTAGGTAGGACTTCCCTGAGTTCAGGGGAGCCACTGAATCTAGTGAAGACGCGCGTCGGCCAAACACAAGCCAGGAGAAAGCTACCTTAGCGCCGCCCAGGCCTGCCGCCGGGAGTCCGTCCCCCAGCCCCAGTCTGGGCGCAGGGCGGAGAGTAGGCCCCTTTCTAGCTCCCAGGAAAACGTGAGCTCCTGCCCGAGGACACCATGTGGGTGGTCCCCAGCGTGCCAAGGTGTCCCCGGAACCAGCACCAAAGGACTGCTCCCACCGCGGGCCCTAGCTCGGCCCAAAACTGGCTTGAGGGGCACTCCCGGCCTGACTTCTCCCCAGACCTAGCTAGAGGGATGCAGACATCTTACGCAGACCGGAGACAGGCTCTCGCCAAATCCTGCCTGAGCCCAAGAACCCGAATGCCTGGTCTCCTCACTCACCCATCGCGGCTCCGCTCGCTCACACTTGGCGGCGGAAGCAGCGGCGGCAGCGGCAGCAGCTTCAGCGGCAGCTTCAGGAGACAATATGGCGGATCTGCAGGACGGCAGCCCGATATGGACAAACTACTTATCTACAGGACGAAACGCGTTATTGGTCCAACCGCCTATCATTACACCGAAGATACGAACTTAAAGAGACCACAGCCACTAAAGGTGGGGCGTGGATATGACGTACGAAGGGAGTGGCTGGGAGGAGACTGCGAGGGATACCTACGAAAGTTAAGTGTCTCTACGAGTTCCCAGCTGTTTCTGCTACTATTTCCTTTTTATAGTGAGATTTTTTTCCCCAGAACTTTTTCTGCCAGAAGCGTATCCCTTCTTTCCATAGTTGAAACCAATAGCCGGGCGCGATGACTCACGACTGTAATCCCAGCACTTTTGGGAGGCCGAGGTGGGCGGATCACCTGAAGTCAGGAGTTCGAGACCAACCTGACCAACATGGAGAAAACCCGTCTCTACTAAAAATACAAAATTAGCCGAGCGTGGTGGCGCATGCCTGTAATCCCAGCTACTCGGGAGGCTGAGGCAGAAGAATCGGTTGAACCCGGGAGGCGGAGGTTTCGGTGAGCCGAGATCGCGCCATTTGCACTCCAGCCTGAGCAATAAGAGCGAAACTCCGTCTCAAAATAAAATAGCCGGGCGTGGTGGTGAGCGCCTGCAATCCCAGCTAGTCGCGAGGCTGAGGCAGGAAAATCCCTTGAACCCGGTAGGCGGAGGTTGCAGTGAGCCGAGATCACGCCACTGCACTCCAGCCTGGGCGACAGGGTGACATTCCGCCTCAAAAAAAAAAAAAAAAATTAGGCGCCGTGGCAGGTGCCTGTAATCCCAGCTACTTGGGAGATTGAGGCAGGAGAATCACTTGAACCAGGAGGAAGATGCTGCAGTGAGCCAAGATCATGCCACTGCACTCCAGCCTGGGAGACAAGAACAAACTCCACTTCAAAAAAAAACAACAACAACAATCATAGACCCTGGGCTGAATATGAATAACGAATCATCTAGTTAGGGGAAGTGACTTGCTCAAGGCTATAGAGAGAAGGAAACGAGGAAATAAGACTAAACCCAGGTTTTCTGATTAGTTGGCAGTCTTACTGGGTGATAACAAATAGAAAAATAGGCCTGTGCAGTGGCTCATGCCTGTAATCCTAGCACTCTGGGAGGCCGAGGCAGGCAGATCACAAGGTCAGGAGATCAAGACCATCCTAGCCAACATGGTGAAACCCCCGTCTCTACCAAAATGCAAAAATTAGCTGGGCATGGTGGCGTGTGCCTATATTCCCAGCTGCTTCTGAGGCTGAGGCAGGAAAATCACTTGTACCCAGGAGGCAGAGGGTGCAGTGAGTTGAGATCCCGCTATTGCACTCCAGCCTGGTGACAGAGCAAGACTCCCATCTCAAAAAAAAAAAAAAAAAAGGAATAGGGCTAGGTGTGGTGGTTCGTGCCTGTCTGTAATCCTAACACTTTGGGAGGCTGAGGCTAGAGGATCACTTGAGGTTAGGAGCTCAATACCAGACTGGGCAACACAGTAATACCCCATTTTTACAAAAGATAAAAGAAAAAATTAGTGTTGAGAAATATTAAGTTTACCCTGCCCCCATGAATCCTTTGTGGAGGATACCTTGTAGTTTGTAATCAGTGGTACGTGGGTAACAGCTGCCTACATGGTATGTTCCTGAGTCATGTGTATATGTAGAACACCTGTGTATTAATAAGAATCACCTGTCAAAGAGCAAATAAATATGTGGAAGAATCTCTACTCAGGGCCTTCAGTCCTGGAGAGCTGCAAGCCCCGCAGGCTCTCAGGCTGTTGGTCCCCAGGAGAGATCTGCTCTGTTGGGCTATCTGGGAGTCTGCCTCTCAATACCTTCAGCCCACCTGGGTGGGGGTCTCCAGATCGAGTTGGATCTCGGTAATTAGCCAGGCATGGTAATATGCACTTGTACTCAGGAGGATGAGGAGGAAGGATCACTTAAGTCCAAGAGGTCAAGGCTGCAATGCCATGATTGTGCCACTGTACTTCAGTTTGGTTGATAGAGTGAGACCCTGTGTCTAGAAAAAAAAAAAAGAGAGAGAGAGAGAAAGAAGAAATAAGTGGGCAGCCGGGCACGGTGGCTCACGCCTATAATCCTAGCACTTTGGGAGGCTGAGGTGGGTGGATCACCTGAGTTCAGAAGTTCAAAACCAGCCTGGCCATCATGGTGAAACCCCATCTTTAAAAAAAAAAAAAAAGAGGCCGGGCGCGGTGGCTCAAGCCTGTAATCCCAGCACTTTGGGAGGCCGAGGCGGGTGGATCACGAGGTCAAGAGATCAAGATCATCCTGGTCAACACGGTGAAACCCCGTCTCTACTAAAAATACAAAACATTAGCTGGGCAGGGTGGCGTGTGCCTGTAATCCCAGCTACTCAGGAAGCTGAGGCAGGAGAATTGCCTGAACTCAGGAGGCAGAGGTTGCGGTGAGCCGAGATCGCGCCATTGCACTCCAGCCTGGGTAACAAGAGGGAAACTCCGTCTCAAAAACAAAAAAAAAAAAA